GCTGTTCCACATCCTGCTGCACAAATCTGCTCAGCTGCCCCAGGACTGGGCACCCCACACTCCTCCTCACTTGATGGACCTGGTGAGGTGCTACCAGAGCTCCTGTCAGCACTTCCATCCCTCTCCCAGGATCATTCCTGACCTGCCTGGGGGGTGCACAGCTGTATCATCAGTGATAATGGGATGAGCAGTGTGTCATCCTCCATCACCTTGGCAGGATTCCCACCTGGGAGGAGGAAAACCCAACAGCACAGCCCTGACCCTGCCAGGGCAGGAACCCTCCAGAGCAGCACAGGAGTCAGGCTCCTCCTCAGGAATTCATTCATTCCTCTAAGTCATGGATTAATTGCAGTGTCCCAGGTCTTGAGAACATTAAAGCCCTGAGCTTCACAAGGCCTAACTCACCCTGGGGAGGAGCCAAACCTCTCCCGGCCATAGCTGTGCTGCCTCTTCCCAAGTCTCCCTGTTCTACACCCAATCCACAGCACTTGGATCCCAAAATACCAGTGGAAAACCCCGTCCTCCCCACGAGCTGAAGTCCTGACAGTGATGCTGTGCCGGTCCCAGTGAGGTCTGAGCCCAGCACTGCTCCCAGACCAAGGCCCTGAGCACGACTTGCCTGGAGGGGACGTGCTCTCCGACGTGGATCTCTTCCTGGAGGGGCTGCAGTTTGTGCTCTCTGACGGCCTCTGCGAGGGCTTGTCCTGGGCTGGCAAAGTGCCTGAGGGACAGAGCACAGGAACCATCAGCTCACTCTGGCAGCACCAACCCAATGTTCAGTATTCCAACTGGCTCTGGTTTGGCTTTGGGAACACTTCTGTGCCTGCTGAACCCAGGGGAAGGGTGGAAAAGGGACACCAAGAAGGAATTCCTCACAGGCAGGGCAGTGAACAAGCCATGAGTAAAACCAGGTAATAACTTCAGCATGGGTTTTTACAGGAAAGAAAAGAGAAAACCCTCATACCCCTACTTTCAAATGAACCCCATGGCTTCATTCCTTGATTTTCAGGGAAGAGTTTGGAAAGGAACCCTGTGGATCATCTATGCCAACCACTCTGCTCAAAGCAGGGTCAGCTAGAGCAGGTTGCTCAGGGCCACCACGTGGGGTTTCCCACATCTCCAAGGGATTCCACAACCTTCACCCTCACTGTGAACACTGTTCTCTTCTGTGCCAACAGAATTCCCTGAACTCCATCCCGTTCCCTGCGCCCCTCTCCTGCCACTGGGCACCACCAGCACCAGTGTGGCTCCTTCTTCTTAGTTCCCTCCCATCCAGCACATGGACACACTGGGAAGAGCTCCCTCTGCATCCTCTGTTCCAGGCTGGCCGATCCCAGCTCTCCCAGCCTCTCTCAATGAATGATCCCAGCTCTCCCAGCTCTCTGGATAAATGATCCCAGCCCTCCCAGCCTCAAATCTCAGCTCTCCCAGCCTCTCTGGATAAATGATCCCAGCTCTCCCAGCCTCAAATCTCAGCTCTCCCAGCCTCTCTGGATAAATGATCCCAGCTCTCCTAGCCTCTCTGGATAAATGATCCCAGCTCTCACAGCTCTCTGGATAAATGATCCCAACTCTCCCAGCTCTCTGATGACCAATCCCAGCTCTCCCAGCTCTCTGAT